TTCGGCAACGTATGACGCGCTGCAGGAGAAAGATTATGATCATCAATAACAAGATGATTATCTTCGACTGTGACCACATATTATTTGTGACGAATCAAATAAAAAATATATTTAACCATGGCCACATATCATTGGAGACAAATTAAATCAAAAATATATAAAAGCCTTTACATGGGTTAAGAGATTGAAAAAAAAATGTTTGAATGGGTTAAATATATGAAACTCATGTAGAGTGTATTCAGATTAGGAGTTTCTTCCCTGAAACGTTGTACCTGTAAACAGGGCCGGTCCGTTAGTTTTTCATACCCAGGGCTATATTATAAATCACTGCCCCTATATTTGTTCCATATGATAGACCCAAGTACCCAATACATACATAAATAGAATAAACAAAAGTGCAAGATATTTATAAACAAAAAACTACAATATCCAATATGCATCAACACTTTTTAGGATCTGAACTCTCAAAAACTGAATGCGAGTAAATTGTCATCTGTATAAAGAACTATGAAAAAAATATATGTATATATCATGATGATTTTACCCTTCCAGGTAACTATATTTAATCCACAATATGATTAATTACTTAAAATGAACACCATCTACCTCTTTAACATATGATGGTAACAAAAACAGATTAAATCAATTGTGCCATTATCAAGAACATATATTTTGCCTTTATGAATTTAAAATCAATAGTTATCTGAGAACAAAAGTTTCTAAAAAAAGGTTTTTAAAACTAGTAACTATAGATGATGAAGGGCTCTTATGTCATCCCGTGAGCATCTTCCTTGGCAAGCTGCTGCGTTTTCAAAAGAACAATATGAGTAAAAAACAAGCTAACATGCAGTCGATTCACATCAAATAAACATCAAAAGTTTAAGAATGAAAGAAGGACGCACAACACAACAACATCAAGTCATCAACAAACGAAATGGTAAATAATCTTATTTTCATCCATATCCAACAGCTAAATGTATAGTTGTATTAAGTGGGTGTTTGGATAAATTAGATTATAGTTTATTAGCTTATTTGCGGTGGGAATAAGCAATAAGCAATAAGCAAGGGGGAGATGCTTATTAAAATCAGCTTATTTAGCTTATCCCTACCACAATAAGCTGATTTTTAAGGATTCCTATCAAAATACTTAAACTTAGCTTATTATGGTGGGAATAAGCAATAAACAATAAGCACCCTCTTTTTTCCCTATCCAAACACCCCCTAAAATATAAGGTTATTTTCTAAAATGACAACATTAATTTTCCACATTTTGATAGATTTATTGACAAGCAATGTTTTTTGGAAAACATTAGCTTAATTAAAAGCGGATATGTTCAAAAAAGGAGGGTGACAAAGATTCTTTTAGAAGACATGAAATTTGTAGAAAAAACCTAAACTAATTTGAAGTTATTATGATTATACCTAAACAAGATAGATTTACCGGGACAATTATCATGAATATTAGCAGACAAAACATAAATTAACTTGAAACTACTAAAAATGAAAAAACTGTGATCAAACATCAACATCAAAATCCATAGTCGACGATATAATAAATTAGAAATCAAAGATCGTTAATTCTAACTCCTACTCAGCTACTCCTCAAGCAAACTAGGAAAAAAAATACCTTTTGAACCAAACTACTGTAATCAAACAAACAAATATCAAATCAAAGATACACATTTCAAATACAAAATAGTCAAATACCTACTTAACTGATGGCTTCGAACTCCAACTCGAACTCATAAAAATCGGGAATCAACAGAATCAGAAAAGTGATAAAAAAATAGTAGAATATGAGAATCGGAATTTGGAATCGGAGATAGACAAAGTGATTTGGGAGTAGAACAAACTTGATAATGGAATTAACGATAACAATCCAGATGCTAAACCCCAAGTTCACCGGATCAACCATGTGACACCACTACCTCCGCCATCAATCCTAGTCGGAAGACAAGAAAATGAGAAGAAACCGTCGGTTTCAGAAATAGAATGAGCTATTGGAACAAGAATTTTGAAAGATCCTGACATCATCAAGCATGTTTCTTCATCTAATTAAGTGAAATTCAGCAGTTAGTTTTCTTTATTCGATGTGAATTATGAACTTTTTAGGTTTCCATTTCCAATTTGAAATTTGTGCTTCTGTGTTGTGAAAACGATCTTGTGGCATAAGCATTTGATCTCCGAACTTATTTTTTGCTTTATAGGGGCACAATATGAGTTTTTTTGGTCTAAATGGTCAATGTCTCATGGTGAACCTATTATGCTATTACAGGTTGAAATGGACTAAAGAGCAGGTCGTATCCTAGTTTATACCCCTATAAAGCCCGACAAAAACTTTAGGGACTGAATCGACCAACCCTAGAAACTTTGTAAGACATTGGCGTCATTTCCCCCATAAAATTAAAACAAAGATGTCAAAAGTTTATAAAAAATTAAATATATAAAAAAATTTATAAAAATAAATTCGTAAAAAAAACAAAAAAGTTAAGTTAAAAAAAACTATAGACCAAATTCATAATTTTTTAACACTAAGCTAAAATTTTAAGAGAAGTAAACCAAGTTCTGAAAAGGAAAAAATGACCGAATTGAATAATATATTTTTTATTTTTTGCACACGTAGTCATTGATTTTTTTTTTGTACACATTCAACTATTTAACTTGGTTTTTTGGTACGCATTCAGTACGTATAACCGACTACTCCAAGTTGAGTCGGACAAATAACTTAATAAGGTAATATAATATCCAATTTTTATACATTTAATCTTTAATGTTTGTACACATTTAGTCCTTATGATAGATTTATTCAGGTTTTGCTTACAACATCATACGTTGAATAATCACTAATGATGTGTTCTTATACGTGGATCGTCCCTCGCTTATATCAGTAACGTAATTCACGAATCAGTCAAAAAATATTAGTGCCCTAGCTTTATCCAAACAAAAGATGTCTTCGGCTTCGGTTTCATCTATCTTCATAGCAGATAACAAGATTCTTTGTGATTGCTTCCTCCAAACTCAAATTTGCACTTCCAAGACAATATAACACCTATACAAAAAGTTTAGAGTCTTCCTTATATCATATGTGGTTCACGTATGAGTTAGGGAAGAATCTAAACTTTTTGCTAGAGTATTCTTTTGGCTTAGAAGTGCAACTTTGAGTTTGGATGAAGCAATCACAAAGAATCTCGTTGTCTGCTATGAAGATATATAAACCGAAGTTGAAGACATCTTCTGCTTGGAGAAAACTAGGACACCAACATTATTTGACCGATTCATGAATTACAATACTAATATAAGAGAGAGACAAACCACGTGTGAGAACACCTCATTAGTGATTGTCTCACATATGATGTTGTAAGTAAAACCTGAAGAAATCGGTCATAAGAACTAAATGTGTACAAAAACATTAATGATTAAATATATACAAAAATATTAATGATTAAATGTGTACAAACTGAAAATTAAATTACCCTATTAAGTCATTTTCTTGGTTTAATGTATAAAAAAACAAGTTAAATGGACAAATATAGACAAAAAAAACTCAGCATACAAAAAAAAAATAAATTACCTTATCCAATCATTTCATATCTTATTGGACCAGTGGGCTTACACTTCTTTATTATAAAAGGCCGCTTACAACAATTATAAAGATTGTATGCACTCATTACTATAATAATAATATTTTATTCTTCACCATGCTACAAATTATAGACTTTATAATGTATAGAATTTCTAAAACCAAAAGTTATCATTAATTTTCATAATATTTCTATGTAATGCAATTTAGTGGATTATCTTTGCATGATATATTCAAACAATAAACAAAATAGTTTTCTTTGGTCAATCGTTTTGAGGTATGTTTAGGTTGTATTTGTGTATATAAGCTATAGTTTATTTCTTAGTAATGTTTATCAAAACTACTAACATAGCCTATAAACAAACATTTTGAAAATTGACATAACTTATTGAAAAACTCGTGAGTTTTTTGCTGTTTGATTTGAACTTACCGTGTCCAATAGGAACAGACTGCTGACTCGGTGAGCAGTCGGGCTGTTTGGTAAATCCAAAATTTTGCTGACTTGGTCAGCCATGCTGACCCAAAGAGCTTACTCGGTCCGTTCCAAATATGTAGCTTACTGAAAAGAAAAAAAAAGCTTGTTGCCCTCTTTTAGGGAGCCATGAAACTAAAGTTATCAACAAAAATTGTCCTTCCAGGTGTTCTAGACAATGGGAATGATAGAGAGCAGTTTAAGGCATTAGCTAGTGGTGATTGGTTTTAAGGAGGAAGTAGAATTATGCATGTATGTTGGTACTTCATAGAAGAGATCATCACCCTCTTGGAATCTTGAAGAACGCCAAATATAAAGCTGTCAATTGGGTTGTTACTCATAGTTTTAGAACAAAGAAAAACACTTGATTAGTTTATGCATATGTAGAAATTCAATAAGTTTGTAAATCAATAAATTTGTGATAATGATTTTATGTGATTTGATGAATATTTGTAATTGTGAGAATTGCTTTGAGAAAAGTCTACTTAAGTGTAATTGTGAGAATTGCTTTTGTATTAAATGACATTGCTATAATTAAATAGATTCATGTTGTGTTGTAAACATAACATAAGGATAAAATGGTTATTTTGATCATTCAGCACAACCAGTCGATACATAATAAAACAATATGGTTTTAGTCGGATGTAGATTCAATCGGAATTTCTAACCCAATCAGCTTCTAACTCAGTCAGCTCTAACACTCTAACACAGTCGGCAACTTAAACGAAAATTTCCCATCGAAATTAATTCACTATCAAAGTAACACACAAAACATTTGATGCTCCTATAAATCAATACCTGTTACAAAATAAATTCAAGATTCAATTTCACATAAACGAATGACTTCTTTCAACAACCGATTAACTGTATTCTTGATATCATCAGGCACTTCTAATTCATTAGGTACGGCTTCAAGAGCATACAAAGTAATAACCCTCATCACCACAGTCAGTCAACATTTTTCGCTCCCTTTTTCCATACGCTTTGGTTAACAAATTTGCACGAATCTTTTAACGCGCATTTGCTACATACCTAAAAGGCAAATAAATTTAAACTAGGAAAAATCTTTTTTTTTGTCTTTAGTGTTCTTACTATTTTAAGGGCTAAATGCAAGAAATAGCAATGTACTTTCATTACTTGTTGTATTACACCATTCTACTTTCATTTATTTCTATTACAACATTGAATTTTCAATTTTTTTTACTAACGCGCCTAACTGTCTAAATTGCATCATGTGAGATGTAAAACAGGTACACATCCCAATCCACATTGGAATTAGTACAATTATAACGGTTAGACTTTTTCCCTTGCTTTGTATTTGGACAACATTGCTATAACTATTAGGTTGATTTTTAAAAAGTAAATGTTGTAATATGAAGAAATGAAAGTAGGTTGTTAAAATAAACAAATCAACATAAGTATGTTTTGCTATTTCTTGCATTTACCCCAAATTGTAATTTATAAGAAAACCTAATGAAAGCAATCACTAACGGTTTCTTCTTGAATCCCAAAAGAATGGCGCATGGCTTTGGAGGAAAAAACATTCTTTCTACCAAGGGAAGGGCATCCGAATTGAGCAACCTTTTTCAAATCACCATTTGACAACCACCTAAATCATCAAAATTTAGAAAAAAAGTATTAACTTTTCAATCCTAATGTTTCTTAATTAAGCTTTTCTGATTGATCAAGCTTCAAAGACCATGGAAATTGCTTCATGAACTACTAAAGAAAGAAAAGAGAAGAACTTGCACTTACCTGTAGATGTCTCGATGATCTTTGGCAAACTTTTCAGCTGCAAACTTCAAGAAATCTCGGCCATAATTGTTCTCAAAACAAGAAACATCGAATTTGTTGTTTAGGAGAAAATTTGCATTCGACAAGTACCCTTTTGAATGCAAAAAATTAGCGAACATAGCCATATCTGGCGATAGCTTCTTCAATTCCATTGATTCCTCTACTTTCTTTGTCTCTGTTTTTGATTTCCCTCTTTGATCAGTACTCATAAACAAACTCGACAATATCTGCACACCCTTTTTGATTCTTGATCATCAATGTGGCCTTCTTCACCCGTTTTTGATAATCCGACTGCTTCTGTGAAAAGGGTGTCTAGTGGCTTCGAAAATATACTTGATAAAGACTTTGTTTCTTTCGTTGAATCTTTTTTATATCTTCCCAATTCCACCTCCAATTTTCTCAAACTTTTCTTGAGCTTTCCCTTTTCATCTTCACTGTTTTCAATGTCTGCTTTAGATAACCCAACTTCTTCTGCGAAAAGGATTTCCAACGGTTTCTTTGACTTCCCATTCGCTTCTTGCGTAGCGAATTTGTGTTGGAATTGAGAAGAAAGCGATACGCTCCGGCTAAAAATAGAACTGGGTGACGATGATTTGGTATTGATGAAAGGAATCAAGTGGGTTTCACTGTGTAAATTAGGGTTTAAGAGTGTGCGAATTTGATGCAAACGGAGGGTTTTGGGGCAGATCATTTGTGGGTTTTTGTTGTGGTGAAGTGAAGTATTAATTTGATTGCTAGGGTTTAAGGAAAGAGAAGATTTTGGGAGGCGAGGTCCGTCCACGTCATTTCAAACTAATATGAATTGTTCTTAAACTCTAATTACGATTTAGTATTACCCATAACTCGTTAATGTATTTTCATATGATTTATTGTTAAATTTTGTTTACATAATTTACCATTAAATATAGAGGCAATATTCTCCAGCCAAACACATCTACTTCAGCCACCACCGGCAACCTTCCGCTGCAATCATCCACCTCCCGCAACAAACACCAAATTTCATTATCAGTGATGACTTAACAACTCTTTTGATAGATAGATCTTTAACAGGTAAATAAGCAAGAACAATAAATACTGGAACACACAATGAATCAATCCGTATGTTGAATGATTAAAACGTAGTCACACCTCAGCAGAGCTCAATCAAGAACTTCCGCTGTAGAGGTGAGCTAGGGTTTACAATACACTTGATAAAATAATAATGAAAGCGTTAATGATAAGATTGCATGCATGCAACTTATATACTAAACCCTAAAACATACACACGGCTGGACAGGCCCAAACCGGTGACAAAACTAGACTAACAACCGAGCCCAAGACGCAACAAAAAAAAAGGCTCAACAATCTCCCCCTTTGCGTCAATTGGGGCGAGACTTCAAACGGGTTGAGCAACGGAAACTTTCTTCACAGTCTTGAAGATCTTCGGTATGATGGCAAGTAGAGTGTGACGAAAATCTATGTACCACCGAAGCATATCCGTGAAGTTCTTCTTATCTGCTGCTCCGTTCTGTTTGCACCTGTGGATAATATCCAAAATATGCTCCAAGCAAGGTGGAAAACAGGTGTTTATCATCAAGACATAACATTAACTTCTGATTGTCTTGTCTGGTGAACATAACAGCACGATACTTTGAATCAATCTTGCCCATATTCATCTTGGTTGCATCGCATGAAGTTCCAATGGGTTTGACTGTAGGCTTTTTCCTCATGACAAGAGAAATCTCCCGATCCATCTTAGCAACCTCATGAATGTAGGAAGCTAGATTCCCTTGATATGATCCAATAATTGGCTCGTACTGCTGTGGATTGGAGAGCGGATGTTGTTTAGAAGAATCCAATCATGGGGATTCAGGTTCGGTAGATCAGCCAATGTAAACATATGAACCGAATCATCTGACCCTCGGGTCACCCTGAAACCAACATTGATAAAAGGCCCAGCCGAAGTAGGCTTCAGTACCTGACGGATGTAATTTCTGAGCACTCCACGTCAAGTACTGGGGTGAGAGTATTTGAGATAAAAAGCAATAAGATCCCGATCAACCTTCGGGTCTGGAGAAGGAATATGACAGTAGCATCAAAGCTGTGAAACACAAAGGCCTTTCGGGTTATAGGCATATCAAACTGTGAGTCCTTGGTGTTTTCACAATCAAACGAAGTAACCGGTTCCAGCCAATGAGTGCTTGGAAACTCAATTGCTTCTTTTATCAACTTCTCCTCGGTCCATAAAGGGAATAGAGCTTTCTTGCACTCCAGCGTATCATGTGCCTCTTTTCCCTTTTCTCTCTCTCTCTTCTTCTCTAGAACTTTCAGAGTTCATCCAGTTCTTATCACGTTTCTTTCTTTTCACAGCTTCTTCCTCAGTTTCTTCTTTCATCATCACTGTCACCCATAATGCCTTCTTTTTGTCCAACACACTAGAACCCGAAGCTTCATTACCCTTCGGTTTTAGTGGTGACTTTTGCCTGATTCGGTTGTTTGGGAGGATGTTGATCTTCTCCCCCTTGTTGCGGAGTAGCAATCGGCTCCGTAACACCCTCTATCCGGCTTAACATTTCCAAAGCAGGAAGAAGTTTTTTCTTTAAGTGCTGTCGGATAGTGATTGTAAGAACCGAATCGTGAGCATCCAAAATATTGGAAAGAAGTAGATGCACATCACTCACACAGCTTTTGATCACTGTGCGTTCGGTCTTGAGGGATTCAATCTCCTGTTGTGCTTGACTAAGTCCCAAAGTGAGATTGGCAATTTGGATTGGGAAAGTGCAAGATCTTCCCTCACTTGGTATCTAGGAAAGGTCTGCTTGAAGTTTAGCAAACGCGTATAACAGAAGAAGAAAGAAGAAAGAAGAGTGACACCATCAACTTGAAGACCTTGACGAACCGCTTCAAATTTTCTCTTTCAGCCTCTTAAAGATTTTGACAGAGAAGCAATGGCTTCATTTGCTTTAATAGTATTGGCTTCTGCAGTGGATTGATGAGATTCCATAAAAGACTTTGAATCAGAAATAAGAGTTTTAACCTCAACAATAGTGTTGTTGGAAGAGAGAGTGGCATCCTTGATAGCTTGAGTAGCTTTATCAATTGACTGATCATGTCGTTTGATCAAAGTCTCAACCAAAGCCTTCACAGCAGCATCAGAGTATGCTGAAGTGGAAGAAGCAGCAGAAGATCCCAGTAGCTGATCAAGCTTGGCATTGAGATCCTTCAAGTGGCGTTTGGTAGAGGCATCATCATCATCATCGGATTGAACTTGAAAAGGACTATCGTAGAATGACTCAAAGTCCATATCAGCGCCACCAAGACAGGTTCAGACTCGTTTTAGGGAGATGCTGATGGAGGTGGGTTTGTAACCGGGGTTTCGGTTCCTGAGGTAAGTGCCCCCGTATCAGATACGTTGACACGAACCAGAGGTTCGGTTGGGGTTTTTGTGGTTGAAGTTGCTTGAGAAAAGATGGGTGTGGTGTGTAGAAGTTATAGTGGAAGTAGGAACAGAAGAAACGGCGGTGGAAGTGGTGCAATGGTAATAGGAAAAGAAGTATGATTTGGAGAAAGAGGAGGGGTTGAACCGAGTCATTAAGTGTTACCCTCTGGAGTTGGAGAACGTGGGTGGTTTCCCTCGGTGAGTCTTCATTGTGAACCTTCTTCCTTCATCTGTCTTCTCTTGATCATCATCTGAAGGAACATAATCTGAGTCATCAGGCGAGGATGCCTTCGGTTTCTTTGCCATATTCTAACCCTTTTCTTCTTTGGAGAGGAAGGAGCTGCTTTGTCAGCTTTACGCTTTTTGTGCGTGTCAGCTTGTGATGAAGGACCCTCTGTTTCTTTCTTCTTGGAATCTGGTTTCTTCCCCCTTTTTGTTGGTTTTTCAACCGCATCTAGAGCAAGTTGCATCTCCGGTCAATTGCCTCGGCCCCCTAGGCGTAAGTTTTCTGTATTCAGCCATGACATTGCTAATTGTGGCAACACTTTGGTACATTGATTCAGGAATGGACCAATGAACAAGAATTTGGTTGAATCAGTGACAATAATATTCTTTGTGAGAAAGGCCGCAATTGATGAGCGCAGGGCATCCGCCATAACTGGAACCTGAAATGCCTCAATCGCCCTGTGAGTGATAAGGGTCCAGAACCGACCACAAGAAATCTCTGAGTTGTTTGCAGATGAATTGAGACTCTGTACCATTGAGCCCAAATTAGCGTTCCATAGTCGAGGTTTTTAGACCATGGTAAGACCATAGAGAATTGTCATAAACCCTTTGTTGGACCGTCTGAACCAGCAACCCTTTCTGATAAACCCTTAACGAGAAGGGTTAAAATTCCGTTCCATTGTGGTGGAAGGCAGGATTCTTGAATTTCGTTATTGTGGTAAGAACGTCAGTATATACCATATCGTAGAGCATTGTGAACAGCTGAGTTGGAGACTGAGGTTTTATGATTGAAGATTTCGAAAAAGATCATATCCCTTGCGTTGTCATAAACGACAGAGGTATGACTTGGGAAAGCAAAGACATCGGCAAGGATTCCACCTTGGTGAGAGTAGTTACAAGTGGTGAATATTTTAGACATTCAACCACTTGTAGCATATAAGAATCATAGAGGAATGGATTCAAATCGATAAGCAGATTCTGGTTAGGCTTGATGACCAGCAAAGGGATGAGGCAGTTTGTTCAAAATTGAAGAAGATTCCGCCATTATGCAGGTTTGAGTAAGAAGATGAACGGTATAAACGCCGATGTGTTCTTGAGAGAGAGAGTAGTAAAGGTAAAAAGGTGAGAGAGAAAACTCTGGACCTCTTATACGATTACCAAGAGAGGGAGGCGCTTGAGTAATCATTCCTTGATTTTCGGAAACGACACTGAAAAAGCGTGATTGACAGCTGTGTTTTCCCTATGAAGACGTCATCAGGCGGGATGATATAAACCGTT